TTTGTTACTGGCAAACCTTTATAGGTAAAATAAATGCGGTTACATTTAATTAGTAGGAAAAATATTAAAACAATTTCTAATTTAACAAAAAAAAATTAGATTCGTGATAAAAATTTTTACTTTAAATTCAAAAGGTTTGACAAAAATTATTTTTTTGAAAATCGAAAAAAGCATAAAAAGTCCTTGAAATGCTTTCCTGTTATATATATTTTTTTAATATTTTTTTTTCCCACTTTTCCACTTTTTCCATTTAAGGCGCCTAAACACAAATCGTTTGACAAAGTTACAGAAAATATACGAAGTACTTTGACCACTCATGCTCCTATTATGGTTGTTCGTCCTGGACCATTTACTCAACTCGAAACCTGCATTATGTCTGACGGTGAAAAACATCCTCTTGATAGAAAACTCTGGGTTCAAGTGTTCGTCTATTTAAATAAAAATGACATTTCAAGTTGTATGCTGGTCTCAAAAGCTTGGAATCAATGGTGCTTAGATAATTGTCTTTGGAGCGAAATAGACATATCTAACCGAAATTTAAGCATATCAATGCTTTGTGGAATTGTTAGGCGCCAGCCTTCCTTGTTAAAACTTTCAAGCACAAATCCAACAGCCAAACAGCTGGAATGGCTGTTAAAACGCCTGCCTCGTTTAGAAGGTTTAAATTTAAGTTTAAGCACTGCACCAACAATATCAGCTATAATGAGAGTTGATTGTTCGCAATTAAAATACTTAAACCTATCTTGGAGCAGTGCTATTTATGATAAACTTATGATACAATTACTTGGTCCAATTAAACTCTACCCTGTGTATTGTGTTGAAAGAAGATTGCCGCGTTTATCGGAGCTCATTTTAACCGGATGCGATATTTCAGACGAAACAACTACTTATATATTTAGTAATTTAAAAAATCTGCGTCGTTTGGATATAAGCTATTGCTCACGTGTAACAGTTGTCGGTGTGGAAGTACTTATTAGGAATGAACATGTATCTAAAGATGTTTTACAAGAAGTTTTATGTGAAGGATGTTCTTTCTCAGAAAATTTAGTTTCGTTTTTCAGAAGGTTTCCTCAATTACCATGACAGAATATATTTAAAAAACTTGTTCGTGTACAATTTTTGTAAAAATTTCATAGTATTATAAGTGGGCTTAAGTTAAAGAGAAATAACTCTTCTTGTTAATAAAGTTGTGCACATATTTGGTATCTCTTAAGACCAGTTTAATTTATATTTTTTCAAATCGAAATTTCATCTTGAAACAGAAAACTATTATTGTCAACAAATTGCATATCTAAAATTACAACATATTCATAATATATATTTTTAATATAAGAGTTGTAGCATGCTGTTTAAAAATAATTATTATATATTTTTTAAATATCTTATTTATCATAATTAATTATATCAAGTTATAAACACAACTTATCATTATCTTAATTTTTTATGATAATGGGAAGATTCAAGGGAACAAGGGAGAAAAAATAAGCTTGCCATTAATAACAAATATTTTAAAACAGCTTTTTAAGTTTTCTAACGTAAGAATCTCTACCTGTGAAAATTTAAGGTCGACCTCTTAAAAGTTTGAAATTTTTATTGTGTTCATATTAGCGAAAAATAGTCTCGTAATTTTTTTGCCCCAAACAATCATAACATTTAAAGTCTACCATACAACTTACAAAACTATCATAATCCATATAACATCTTGCATAACATTTAAAATCTAACATAATATTTAAAATCTAAGAAAAAATCTAGCATTTACCATGTAAAATCATGTAAATATAACTAGTATTATTTTACATAAAGTTTACTCAAAAATTACCTTAAAATTTAGAATTAAAGAAATTAAATAAAAAGAAATAATAAAAAAAGTTTCCATTTATAAGTTTTTTTATTGTTAATATTAGGTTTTTATTTATTAATCTTTTTATTTTTCATTTCATTTTCTCAGTTTTTATTTTAATCTTAACTATCTTTTCACTAATTAAAAACTTTTTTTGAAAATATTAGGGTTTTTAAAATACTGTTTGATTTATTTTGAATCTGATGGTAGTGTTTAATTTTATGTTGTAAAATAAGAGAGTTATTTGATAAAAATTAAAAAAAGAGAATACTTCGCTTATGTCGGTCAATTAACAATATTATCAGTTATCTATGTATTTACTTTCTCAACTACTTAGGTCAACAATTATCTAGTAATAAATGACTAAATCATCAACTGCGCAGCTTTTAGCACTAACAAAATATTATATTATAAAAAAACAAAAAAATTACAAAATTTCAGTTAAAGTTGGTTTAGAATCTGCAATGAAAACATTTCTACAAAAAATTAATCCCTCTAATAAACATTAACAAGTCAAAAAGAAACAACACAAGAATTAAAGGTAACGCCTTGACTGAAGTTGAAACAAAGAAAGTTCGAGAGTAAAACAAAATAAAAGGCTACAAAACGTAAGATACACTACTTAGACAAAAAAGTATTACAATTTTAAAAATGCAA